TGTAAGTGGGATATTTAAGTCCCCAACCATTAATGTATTGCTGTTTATTTCTTTTTTTAGTTCTGTTTTTTACTTTATAAATTAAGGTGCTCTCTTGTAGTGTACATAAATGATGATTATTATGTCTTCTTGAAGGATTGATGCCTTTATCATTATATAATGACCTTCTTAACTATAAAAATGGTAAAAGAGACAAAGTCTGTTTTGTTTGATATGTTTTTGTCATCACTTGCTTGGAATATCTTCATCCCTCTCCCTTTACTCTTAGTCGTGCATCTTTAAAGCTAAAGTGAGTCTCTTATAGGCAGTATAATGCTGGATCTTGTTTTTTGTTTTTCAATCCATTTAGCCATTCCATGTCTTTTGATTGTAAATGGATTAAATTCCCCATTTAAAGTAACTGTTGACAGGTAAGCCCTCATTATTGCCATTTTGTTGTCTGTTTTGTAGATCTATTGTTCCTTGACCTTTATCCTGCTCTTTTCCTGTGTTTTGAAGACTTTTGGTGTCAGCACTTGACAGTCACTTGATTATCGTGTTCTATTGTGTACTTACTGCAGGTTTTATCCTTATGTAACCAGGAAGTTTACATGTCTTAAAATTGTAACACCTTGTTTTAAACTGATAACATCAATAGCATTCCTATATTTTACACTTCTCCTCATATTATAGGTTATTATGTTACATGATTATTGCAGTTTTGATTATTTTTAGATTTTTAAACTAGAGTTGTAAGTGAATTATGCACCACCATTACTATATTACAGAATCTATGTCTGATTTTTTTTTTGCTTTTACCAGTGACTTTTATGCTACCTTTGTATATTTTTATAATGTTAATTAGCATCCTTCATTTCTACTTAAAGTGCTCCCTTTAGCATTTCTCTTAAGGTAGCCCTCGTGGTGATGAATTCCTTCAACTTTTGTTTGTTTAGGAAAGTCATTATCTCTTCATTTTTGCATAACAGCTTTGCTGGATATAGAATTCATGGTTGACAGTTTCTTTTTCTTTCAGTATTTTGAATATATCATCCCACCTCTTCTGAGATGAAAGTTTCTGCTGAAATCCACCTACATACAGTCAGTCTTATGAGGGCGCCCTTTTATGTAACTTCTCTCTTGCTGCTTTCAAAATTCTTCATCTTTGACTTTTGATAATTGTAATGTGTCTCATATAGCCCTATTTGGGGTTGCTTAAGCCACATGGACCTGCATGTCCATTTCTCTCCATATGTTTGGGAAGTTTCAGCCATTCTTGCTTTAAATATTCTTTCTGTCCCTTTCTTGAGTGTGTCCTATTAGTCTTTTCAGCTTTCTTTACTCCTTTTTTTCTTTCTGGTTCTCTGACTAGATAATTTTAAGTGTACTGTCTTCTATATCATTGATTCTTCTGCACGGTCAAGTCTGCTGTTGAAGCTCAGATCTCCATTTCTTTAGGGTCAGTATCTTTTGGTGGTGTTATGTTGACCTTTTTCTTGTGTGCATGATCTTTGATTCCTTATGTTGGTATCTGTGCATTTGAGTAAGTGGTTTACTCTTCCCAAATTTAACAGTTCATTTGGGTAGAGACAATTCTCTACCAACCACTTGTCATGGTTTTCTGCATGTGTTGTTTTGCAATATCCGTGGGCAGATGGAGCTTTCCATCAGGGTCTGATTGAACTAGGTTGCAAATCAGTTTTTTTTTTTGCTTTGGCAGGGCCCTGTATACACTGCAAGGCTGGGGATGCTCTTATTTGGAGGTCATATTAGGCAGAACTACATACTAAATTCCCTGAACTCATAAGCTACCATCCTCTGCAGATGAGTTGGGCTGCACAGATTCTCAGGAGCTCTGGTTCGGTTTCCTCGTCTGCTTGGTCTGGAAGCTGTAGTCAGCTTGAATTGGGCTACACATTAGCTCCCCTGCCTAGTTAGGTTGCAGAACAGACCCTAGGGCCAGCAAGGATGTTTTCTGGAAATCAGATCAGACAGACCTACATACTAAGCTCCCTGGACACATGGGCCACCATCTTGGTTCCACAGACACAGAGATGGTGGCTGTTTTCTCTGTTTAAGTGCTGCTGTAATCAGAGCTACCAAGATTCCAAGGAGCTCTGGTTAGGGTTTCTGCTTATCAGGGCTTGGGGCTGTATTCAGGAGTTAGCAGCGAGAGCCACAGAGTGGGCTCCAAGGCCAACAAGTCTCTTTATTTGGGGAGCTAATCAGGTGGACCTGTGCATCCGAATCTCTGGCCAGGTGGAGTTGCTGGCTCATTACTGCAGATGGGTACAGCTGCTGGCCAGGCTGCCAGTTCTGGCAGGACCAGGAGCTACACTCACTCCCCTGTCTGGGCAGGGTGCTAACCAGGAACTCTAACCAGAGCTCCTTGGAATCCTCCAGGAGCCCAGGCTCAAGGTCTGGCAGGTCCCAACTCAGGCAGCCCTGGACCTGCCAAGTTCCCTGGTAGACTGTGCCACCATCTCGGCTCTGTAGATGAGGGAAGCTGCTGGCTGGACTTCTCTTGGGCACTGCACGTAGGAACTCAATCTGCCAAAGTGCTAATTGTAAGCCCCTCCCTCTCAGTCATGATGTGATCCTAGAAATGAAGCCCCACAGATGTTCCTGTGATCCCTGGGAGATGAGACAGGAGTATGGGATCCCAAGAAGTGACCCACAGTGCTGGGGGACCCAAAGTCCCCCTGGCTTCATTTTTTCCACTGTCGGCTCAGAGGGGAGCTCTCTGAGGTTCTGAGCCCCCTGGGGTGGGGCAGTGTGGCCGGTGCTGCTCCCCTTCCCCTGGGAATGCAGTCTGTATCAGTGGTGCCTTGCCCATGAGTAGTTGTTGTTCTTGTGATGGGCAACAAAATCAGGAACTGCCTATGTCACTGTCTTGGTGATGCCCCTCTGTCCCCACAGTTCTCTATCCTTTGTGGCTGGGTGTTTCCTGATGGCAGTGAGATCATCTCATCCTTCTGACGTTTCTCCTATGAGGTTTAGTAAAAATGGACGGCTCACTCACTGCTTTTAGGAAGTTTTGTTTTCTTTCCCTCTTGGAGGCCTGATGCCAGCAAGTGAGTGTAATTTCAGTGTGAATAGAGCGTGAACTAAGTCCTTAATGAAATTTTAATCTTTCAAAGAATGCTACAAGGGAAGCTCGATGAGTAAACAGGCCATGAAGGGAAAGTAGCATTCTCAAAATCACTCAGACTGTATGTTGTGGGAACCTCTGTGCCCTGGCCCATCCAACTTGGACTTTACTAAATGCTCCTTGGGTCAATGCATTTATGTTCTTTACTGGGCTTTTTAAGCCTTTATCCATCTTTGCTCAAATGCCAGTCTTACAAGAGTCCTTACCTGACCACTTAACCTAAAATGGTAGTGTCAGGAGTCTGCTTGTTCATGGACTGGACCTTCTCTAGAATTTAAGCTCTGTGAGGGTGGGGGTTACCTCCATATTCACTGCAATATCCCTTGTGCCTGAAAACATTATATGCTCCAAAAAATATTATCAGGGGCATAAAATTAAGTATGTCTTAGAGAGCCATGTGGCTAAATTTGTGATTCCTGTGTAGTATATCAGCAGCCTTACATCTTTGTTAGAAATGCAAAGTCCCACCCTAGACCTTGTGAGTCAGGATTTCTGGGGTGGGGCCCAGGAACCTGGTTTTTAGCAAGGCCTCCAGGTGATTCTGGTGCATGCTCAAGCCTGAGAGCCACTGGTTGAGCTGTGCTTCCCAATCTTGAATTATACTAGAATGCAGATTGATTCATGAAAGCAGGGTGCCTGTATTTCTAACAAACTGTAGGTGGCGCTCATGCTGCCGTTCACTAATTTACTAAGCGAATCTGTGGGCACCGAAGGAGCTGTAAAAATGACCGATGCTGGTTCCACCCTTAGGCGTTCTTATTTAATTGGTCTGGGGTGCAGCTGGACTGGTCTTTTTAAAAGCTCCTCAGGAAATTCTCTGCAGTTAAGGCTGAGCGCCACTGGCTGTGTGGACAGGTGACACACTGCATTCTCTGGGCCAGGGCACACACAGGTCTCATGTCTAAACTCTTAGTGTTCTGTGGGAAATTAAGAAAATGAGGCCTACAGGGAGACAAACTGTAAGCAACAAGGGAAACTAAATCCCTGGGCCGGCTTGCAAACCAGGATGTGCAAACACAACCACTCGATACAAGGATTTGATGATGCTCAATCAATGCAGAAACCAATGATGAGTTTGTCCTAAACTCCTAAGGATGAACAAATGTTCCAGGGGTTACATTAGCTGACCAGGTTAATTAAAAACGACTTCAATAATTAGTTTTGTATGTTTAGGTTCTTTGTTACTAGAGCAGATGCTTTTCATGGAAGGGACAAAAACTCCTAAATGAAACATCTTCTGGTTTCACTGCCCCTCCTCTGAACTTGTGTTCTAAAAAATGCATCATGTCTTCAGAGGGTTCTCTAGATTTAAAACAAATCACCCTTCCAGCATACACAGCCCCCGATATGTAGGGTCATACCTTGAGACGAAGAGACATAAAAGCAGTGTTTTGCTTTGTCTTTGGTTCTATTAACATGCCCAGTGGGACTTCTTAAAGAGAGTTGATATTTATTAGAATGTTTTAAGAATGCTGCCCAAAATGAACAGTGAGGAGAAATACCTGTCCTAATAGATTTTTTAAAGGACTATGAATGAAAGTATCATGAATGTAACAAGACACGGGAAGAGTCTCAATCATAATATAAATTAGTCATGGGGCTGAAAGTACAGCATAGAGAATATAGTCAGTAGTTCCGTAACATATTTCTGTGTTGACAGTAACTTCCCTAGTTGGGGTGAGCAACTAATAATGTAGCTAAGTGTTGAATCCTATGTTGTATACTTGAAAAAAGTATATAGTTTTTAATTGACATATAGTTGATATGTAATGTTATATCAAAAATGAAAAGAACAGGAAGTGGGATGTGACCATGCATCTATCACTGACTCTTCCTGCAGTCTCAGGCTATGCTTCTCTCTACTTCCCAGATGCTCCATTTCATCATCCCAGGCTGTGGTGAGGGTCATGATGGTTGAACAGGGAACTTCTGGGAGGCATTACACAGAAAATTGTTACAACACCACATTGGATGAGCTGGAGGGGTGACATGATCATACCCTTTTTCTGGGGAAGAGTCCCTCATATCTCCCTTGCAACTCAAGAAGACCAGGTTTGTATTACTGATCCTCTCCTCCCTATCATAGCTGATTGTTCTACACTGTGGACACAGTTTAAACCTGGCCAATCCACTTCTTTCCCCAGAAAATTGGAATAAAGTGACAGAGTCTGGCAGTCTTGTGGCACTTTAATGGCATCAATCTAGAGCAGTGCTCTGCAATAGAATTTTCTCAGGTGATGGAAAGGTTCTATAGCTTTCACTGTCCAATACAGTGGCTACTAACCACATGTGGATATTGAGTGCCTGGAATGTGGCCAGTGTGACTGAGGACAGAATTTTTTATTTTAAATTTAATGGTTAGTTCGAATTATCTATTGTATTGGACCAGGCAGCTCTAGAGCCCAGTTTTATTGCCTTTGGCTTCTACTAAAGAAATACCTCAACAGATCCTCTTTGGGTATTTCTTTTGCCAAGTTTTGGCTGTTCAACTATTGCATCAACTTCATGCAAGACCCCAGGAGCTTTGTATAAATCCCCAAATTTATTTCAGCTAGCCAAAAGCAGCTTAGTGTATTAATTATTCAAGTTAGAAGCTTAAATACCATTGTTTTGTGGAGGGATGTTTACCACATTAAAAACCATACAGATATGAAGATGCTGGATTTAGCATTAGCCTAGGGATCTGGAAAATCAGAGCTCTCATGCCCCACCTTTTCCTTGGGTGAGATGTGAGAAGCTATATAATCACTCTGAGCCTCATAATTATAAACTTGCTTATAAAAACTAGACTATGACTACACTGTCATTAAAGACATATATGATAAAAATCAACATGATTTTCTCAGATTTGGTCTAGAAGACACACGGAAGCTTCATTGTGAAGCTGGACCAGATTTGGATCAAAGGTTAACTAACAAAGTCCTGCTGGCTGCACAGCAGGTGGGCATTCTTTGACATTCATGGACCTCATCTGCTTGTGGGTGACCTTGAGCCATTTCTCCACACCATGAGCTTTGTTTCCTCCAGTCATAAATAGTAAGATTCATGGGTACTTTACCACTTAAATGTTGCAACCATTGTCACATAATAGCTCATACAGTCCTCCCAACAAGCTTGTGAGGTAATGTCCTTGTCTTACCATCACTGTTATTCCTTTGCAGATGGGACACCAAGGCTCAGAGAGATGAAGCCAGTTGACTCAGATCCACTGTTAATAAGCAGAAAAGGCAGAATTCACAACCGGGTCTTCTGCCTCTAAATCCAACACTTAGAGAAGAACATCTGCATCTGCTTTAAAATTTTATGGAGACAGATGAAATCCCATATGCTTAATACTTCGAGAAAAAAATGTGAAGCAAATAAAGTTTGCATTTTAAGAGATGAGAAGGGCAAGAGTGTCATTCTTTTTTGGGTCCGGATTTTGAGGTATGATCTTGAAAGTTCAGTGCTTGGATGATACCTACTGTGTGAAAATGTACCAACAGTTCTGGGGAAAGATGGAGAGCAGACTTTACATGCAGCCTAGATTACTGTTGTTCTATGCTTAATTATAGTCAATTCTTCTGGCATTTAGCTGGTCTATAGCTCGCACTAAATCCTTACAACAGGCCAACATGGTCAATGCTATCATCAGTTAATATAAAAAAGTTTTGATATAGAAAGGGTAAACAACTCTCCCTGTAGCTCAGAAACAAAAGTTAGCCAAGCCAAAATTCACAGCTTAGATCTGACAGTAGAGTTCAAGTTCCAAGTTACAGATTCTTAATGACAAGGAAATCAGAATAAAAATTTCACCTTAATGATCTTTGTTTTACTGGTACTGCATTAGGAGGGGCAGCCAGTGCACACACTGGGGATGTCAAGGGGCTTCTAGGGGCCCACGTGGTGAAGGCAAAAATCCTCAGCATGAGAAACGTCTCCTAGATATTTCCTCTCTGGTTCACACTGAAATGCCATGGCTTTTCTTCAACAGAAGCAGCTAACTGCCTCCACGCTCTTACTAGATCGGAACGGATGGAATGTACCTTATTTATCTTGGTACTGCAGAGCCAGACACAGTAGAATCGTGGTGGATGCATGAATCATTCTGATTCCTAATACTGCTAATAGGTGAGCACACACAGTGTTCTCCAGCCTTTGTCTTATTTTAACCTCCTGTAAAGCAGTATTTATATATTACATGTATGGAGTGCAAGGTGAATGTAAGGTTAACAGGCATTACATTTTCTCACTAAAGCTAATAGTCACTTATTACAGAAACACTGTCATTTGAAGTATGTTGCTACTTCATACTTCAAATGGAAGGAAGATGCTGTATTCAGACCAAAACGAGATTCTTCTAGAAGGTTCTGATATATTAGGTGCCTCATGGGGTATTGTGGGAATTTTCAGAACAGGCTAAACCAGGTGAGCATATGCGAATCCCACGTTGAGGACACACGTGGGGGATTTAGAGGTTCAGGCCAAGGTCTGAAGTTTCACTCAGCCACAGGCTCCCTTGGAGATGAACGGCCAGCCACTGTGGAAGTTGGGTTTTAGGATCTCTAGGTTAATGATGACTTTATTGCTGTTTCAGTGCTGAGGATTACCAATACGGCTTTTGCCTTATTTACCAAATCCACTGTATCATATATAAGAAGGGACTGTCGGACTGGAAAGTGTCCATCCATATCAGGAGCTGATTTCACATGGCTCTTTTGTTTATACCGCACATATTTCCAAGAAGGAGAGGCCGTTAAAGGTGGGGGTGGTCAGGAATGTGGAAGAACTCAGATAAGATAATGGCATATTAGCACGAGGAGGCACGGTCGGGGGAGGGAAAGGATTGTTTTTCAGGTTCCTATAGGGCTGATTATTTAATGATGATCAAAATGTTCAGTGTGATACAAAATTCAGTGGAAACAAAGATTTCCTGGAGATTTTTATCTCGACTGAAAGTGCCTTGAGGACAAGGGCCATGTCTTTGCTGTAATGCCCATGTGGCATTGTGTCCACTATACCAGCCAATATCAACAACTGTTTGTTGAAAGGAACTGAATAAAGCTATTAGATAAGAGACTTCATGAGAATTAGCAGTCTGAAAATTATAAGGGCTTCCTGGTGTTACCAGTTCTGTCACCCAATATTTATTATCAGAATCTGGGTAGTCACCTGTCGGGTGATCGGTCCATGTGAGAGACGCCTAGATAGGTATTTTCAGAAATGCCACAGTGATAGAAACATTACTGACTAGTGGACACATTGTAGTATAAGTCACTAATAATATATCAGTCCTTGTAGCTGACTGTATTATTAAAGTGGGTTTGGGGTCTGAATGTAAAGACCCTGAAGCAGGAGGGAGATCCTTGGCCAGAGAAGACATAGCAGGCGAAACCAGGGCCCTGATTTAAAATGTTCCTCTGATTCTGTTTCACTATAATGTTGCCCAGAGACCTAACGTCTTTCTCCAGGACCTATTTGGCTGCTCTGCCAAGGTCTGGGTGGGACTAGACTTCATCTCTACCCAATTGGACGTTAATTGTTATTTCTCTATTATTAGGCTCCCCCACCCCCATGAATCAAGAGTTTGACAGATACCTACTTACAAGCATGCATGTATCCAATCCATCTATCCATCCATCCTTTTCTTCCTCACGCCTGGAAAATGCACGTTGGTGGGCTTAAGACCATCTGTCACGGACTTCCATAAGACTGTGGCTGAGTCAGCTCTGTAAAAAGAGGGGTCTGCTGAGTTTTCTCCTGTAGTCCTTGTTTTTCCTAATGTAGCATTATGCAGGGTACACAAAGGAGCAGTGCAGGATAGAGGGTATGAGACCTGTTTCCTAATCTAAGGGAATATTGGATCTACATTTGGAGAGTCAACGCATGTGATAGAGCTCAAGGCAACAGCAAAGCCACATGACTGGGCAGAGTGTGGTTGTGTTGAAAGAAAGCCTAGTTAATAGGCAGCAAGTTCTACTAAAGGTTAGGAAGGGGGTGGAATCACAGGGAGGAATTCCTGGAGAAATTGGGTACAAAGCTGGAGTTTTACTGATATACAAGAAACTGATTAAAAGAAGCAAGAAAAAGGACTTCCCAGAAACGGAGAAGGCATATTGTGTATAAAATCATGAGTACTCAGGAAGGTGAGGAGCATACTAGGTGTTTTAAGTAGGTGAGTTATGAGGCCAGATACTGGACATCTTTAAATTTCCAGGTTAAGGACATAGGACCTTCTGATCAATGTAATGGAGAACCTTTGAAAGTTGAACAGGGCAATGCTTTATAAATGCATTTTTTGGGAAAAGTCTGGCAGCCTTGAAGAACATGGACTGATTGTGTGGGAGAGAGTTTAGAAGGCAGACAAACTAGACATAAATGTCTTATTCCAAGTTGGCTATTTTTCTGCTCAAAAAGAATAAAAAAAAAAAGAAAACCGCAGCTTCCAATGAACTGTCTTTTATTATGACACAAAAGCCATAAAAGTAGTGATGTATATAAAAGCAGTACAGGGTGTTTTTAGTGGCTTTATGAAATAAAAACAGCCATAGATAGTTAAAATTGGAATGCCCCGCATCAGGTTATAACTATCTGAGTTTCAGAACTCACAGCAGCAATGCAATCATACTTTTATAGCACTGGCTTCGTCTTTTCACTCAGATAACTGATGTATGAGTGGGTGAGAAGAGAAAACTCAGGAAATCAATGCCATTAAATAGCAAAGGATAAGAGTCTTCGAATTTCAATGGCCATGGCAGTTACTAGTTTGATAAAAGAATCATTATTTCCACAAATCAAAAATGCGTGTGCTATGAATAAGGTTAAGGTTGATCCTTAGGAAATCAGGTTGTCTAACAAAATACTGTGATTGGTAGGAAGCAATCGTACCAGGCACTGTGACATCTGCGACTTCATTTTACACCCATCACAATTCTGAGAAGGGTGATTTTCACAAATGCATAAGATGTAGGTGCTGAGGTTCAGAAGAGTTGAGAAACTTGCCCATAGTCTAACAGTTAAGACATGGTATCTCTGACTATATCCCAGGATGGAGTCTAAATCTCACATCTTGTCTTCCTATGCAAAAGAAAATTCTCATGAACTTTGACCTCTTTGCTGGTCTGTGAAGATTCAGTGTCTTTCAGAAGCTGTCACTGTGGGTCTCAGACAAAAGTGTTTCATTTCACTTGTTCACCAGTAGCCAAGACAAATCCTGCTTGGGGCTTTTGGAAAAAACTTTTCAATTCATTAGCAAAGTTCATGTCTAGTCTTTTGTAGGCTAGGGGTGGAGACAAACACCTCTAGTGATTATACAATCTACTGAAAAGTGGTTTGCTGAAGGTAAATGATTTACTTAATACAATGTATTTGGAGGGCAGCAGAGATGTTCAGTATTACATTGCATAGTCTACAGAATAAGGATTTTATTTGATTTTTCCCATTCTACCCCATCTTGGGGTTAGTAAAATGATATGCTAATTTAAAAAGAGTATTATTTTAAGGAGTAAAAGAAAAAGTATTTTGGATACACAACACATGTCCACAACTAATTAATTTGTATTGATACTCATAGCCCAAGACAACTCAAAGATTGGAAGCTAGGTCAGGCTAACTCTTACACCCATACTTGAATGACCTCATTAAATCCTACTGTACAAGTTCATCTACATGCACATACACACTAAGAAGGTTTTGATTTTGTAGCATGCAGTTCTGTGGAGGAGAAAAATGTTTGTGTCTTCAGGTGTTACATTAATAGGGAAAACAATGCATTCAAGTCAACCACTAGTCTGGAGTACCTTCAAGAAGCTATAAGAAAACAGGGAAATAAGCATAGATGGATTAGGATTAAAGGTACAGGCCCCATGAGCAGGCAGGGTTAGTCCCTTCACTCAGGGACTGACTATGAATGATAATCGTATCTGCCTGGAAGGTGGCTGCGAGGATGAAATGCCACGATGCATGTGGGGAGCTGTGAGTTTCTCCACTCTGTTCAAATCATGAGAGAGATCACAGTATTAATAGTAATAATGTAATATGTACTGGGCACTTACTATGTGCCAGGCATTGTGCTAAGTGATTTATGCAGGTGAAGTTGTTCAATCCTCAGAATAACCCCTCGAGGTAGTTATTACCATTATCATCTCTACTGTGAAGGTGAGATAACTGAGCATCAAGATACCATGTCATTTATAATTTGCCCAAGGCCTTATAGTCAGTAAGTGGTAGAGCTAATAGTAGGACTCCATAGCCTACTTTCTTCACTGTTGTGCTACCTGGCATCTCTAGGAGCCATAGAAGACCACTACTGGAGTGAGTTCACTGTGGGAGAGAACCAGGCCCTACAGTGAGAGGCCAAGGCTGCCAGGAATGACTTGGGTACAG